GGGTTGTTCCTCCCCTGGTGCAGGACTTTGCACTTCCCCTTGTTCAACTGCAGGAGGTTCCTGTCAGCCCATTTCTCCAGCCTGACAGAGTCCCTCTGGGTGCCAGCATGACCCAGTGGTCTATCACCACTCTTCCTAGTTTTTTATCATCAGCCAACTTACAAAGTGTACACTCTGCCCCATTGTCCAGATCACCAATGAAAGCACTGAACAATCACCCCGAATCTGCCCAGAGTTGCCTATTTTAAAATTCAATTCGTCAATCCTGCTTTAAGGGAGAACACTGACTCTGACAACAAATATTAAGGAGCGTCAGAAAAGAGTCCAAAATTTCAAAATTATTGCAATGAATAAAAAAAATCTTTTTTTTTTTTTTTTGTAAATAAGGATGGAGATGCCTGTGTGGTAAGTATTTTACGATTATTAATACAATATATCACAGTAATAGCAATTTTAAGAAAAGAGTGAACAAATATATTCTAGTAGGGCAGGTAGCAGCATGCAAGGAACTTCTCAGCTGCCTGCTACCCATGAGTCATCCTGAGGGACCCTGCCTGGGCCACTGCTACTTGCCAAGAGCATAGAACCTTGTGTGGCCAAACTGGAAACCAAATTTAAAGATACTCTATTAGGGAGATTGGAGTTTAAAGCAAACCACTCACCATTCCAAACTTCCCACTATCTCAGAGAGAATTCTTCTCTGATGGAAAGTTCATACTTTGACACAGTGTAGTCCTGTCCTCAGTCCAAATCAAACATGCTTATCAGTCCAAGCACATCAGTAAGAACCATCAAATAAGTAACACTCCAACATCTGGACCATTCCTGTAACAAATGAATGTTTGCTCTCAAGCTCAAGCTGATGCAGGTTTCCTCCAGTAAGCCAATGGTCATTTTAAACAATTCCTTTTTTCTAGAAATCTGGTGTGGCGATATGGAATAAGGATGATAAACTTCAAAATAAATTATGAACAATATATAGTGATCTGTCTATTAAGATGTTTTGCTTGAATCACTCCGCTAAGTTAAATCATGAATTATTGGGAAATCAAAACAGAGGGAAAATAGTGATAGCTAGGTTAAAGGCATGAAGCCTCTTCTTTAAAAGATATACCCAAAGAAACTGCATTTCTGCTCTCTTTGAAAACAATTACTACAGTCACATTCCTATTTCTGTTAGAAATCAGATTAGGATGAAATGCCACAGGCTTACTCCATTCTTCAGGAACAAACCAAAATCCAACCTCCCAGCAGTATCCTACAGCAAAGTGGTCAGTGTGCAAAATGACCATTCTTCTTCACCCTAGGTACTTATGATTTCCAAACATCATGAACTATTTCCAAAGAAAGGACTGTGATAGATTTTTGGATTAAAAAGCTCCAAGGAAAAAAGAAAGAGAAAAAGAGAAATTGCATGTTCAAGCACAATCACACACAGCCAAGTCAGAGTTCTAAAATGTCACTTTTGACTGATGGTAGTACATGAAAATCAGTCTGAAAGGCCAACAATGTTATGGGCTTACCGAAGAAAAAGCTAAAAATATGGTCAGTCAGAGCTGAAGACATGATTTCACAGGACATGATGACCGCACTGACACCCAAAGAGAGGCCTTGCTGCCATCCCTCATCTCTCTGTCTGCTTCTTTGTTTTACTACTGTATTATGGAAGACATTTCCAGCATATCACACTGCTATTCCATCACACGGCTCACGTTCTCCACACAAATTCCAGAATCACAACAGAGAAAGACCTGCCAGAATCACCTGAGGTCATCTGTTCCAACCTCCCTGCTCAAGCAGGGTCACCTAGAGCAGGCTGCCCAGCAGGGTATCCAGATAGATCTGGAATATCTAATTCTCAAATAAGATTTTACAATCAGCAATCTGACAAGCTCAACTGCAGAAACATTTGCATTCCATGCAACAGGCCCAGGTGTTTGGTGACTCTCTCTTACCAATTTGAGGATTCTGTTCTCTCACCCACACAAGTAAAACAATGTCACACCACCAAAGTCTTCACTATTTCTCTAAAACTGTATCCAACGCCTTACTAGCCAGAAGACACAGAATTAACAGGAGCCTGATCA